TCCAAAGTCTGATCAGCTCATTTTCAGACAGGTTTTTATATAAATGGATCAGGACAGAAAGTGAACAAATATTTTTTCCTGAACATTTCAGAACTTCGTTACACAGAGGGGACACATGATTATGTATAAAAGACATAAAAACTTGGAATTTGCCTAATAGGTGACCTTTAAAGCGGAGTAATTATAATTAGAGGTGTATTGATTCTGACATTGGGACCTAAACCTGGGGCACAATAGAGCCCTTCATGCCCCAAAGCATTATAAATAAATGGCCCGCTGGCCCGGAGGCACTATTTAGAAAGCCCGGGCCAGCATAAGTACTTTCCACGTGCCCCTAAACATATTGTTTTAAACACAAACATTTCCTGTGGTATTGGTATTTTGACAAGCAATTTTGATAAATTATTTTGTTTATTAACGCTACAACATAGCGTTTCGTCAGGCGGTTGTCGCTGTTTGCTGCGGAGTAGCGCAGCGCGAGCAGGCTCCCGTGCGCAGGAGAGCACTCCTTCACAACAGACTTCCTCGCCACCTAACCATTCGCCAAAATGTTTTTAATACCCCGGCCAAGCGCCGGGCAAAAAACTATCTTAAAATAAAAGAAAGTCACCGGAGGAGTTAAAGGAGTGAGAGGGAGTATGAGAAGAAGAGGGAGAGAACGGCCACACTGGCTTGATCGATGGAGTTGGCTTCAATATGATGATATAAACAAGGTCTTCTGTCGGCTCAGGTCGGGGTTGATGTACAGAGCCGACAGAAGACCTTGTTTATATCATCATATTGAAGCCAACTCCATCGATCAAGCCAGTGTGGCCGTTCTCTCCCTCTTCTTCTCATACTCCCTCTCNGTGTGCCTTGGCAGTCTCAAGAAAAGTTGCTAACTCCCTAACTGTGTGCAGACTTGTACTCTTTTTATTCCCTTTTTTTTGCTTATATTTAAACCATAATTGCTTCTTTTAATATATCCCTTTTCTACCAGAATACATTTTGTTTTCCCAGGTTTAATAAGCAAGAAATGTACATTATCACATACAGTGTTTCACTCGTTTTAAGAAATCTCGTTCATTCCCAAAAATATGTATTTCCCACCATATTGATGTCTCTCTTCAGGCGGTCGTGCGAATGACGGCGCTCCCGGTGACAACGGTTTCCCAGGAGGTCCAGGATACCCCGGATCAAAGGGAGGTCCTGGTGATGGAGGCCGGCCTGGAATAATGGGTAAGAGATAAAAACGCTGCGATGACAAACAGATTTTTAAGAAACGAGTAAAAATAACATTCTCAATAAAATAATTACTTTATGTCCTTTTTGATGTCCTATCTTGTCGTCTTCTTTCCTTTCCTTTCCTTACCTTTATTTGTATTTCCTTTCCTTCTGAAGCCTCTTCCCTTTCCTTTCCTTTCCTTTCTTTTCTGAAACTTCTTTCCTTTCTTTTGGTTAACTTCTTACCCTAATTTTCTTTATTTCCTTTACTTACCCTACCTTTCCTTTCCTTTGCTTCTTAAGCTTCTTTCCTTTCCTTTCCTTTTCTTCCTTTTCCTTCTCTTTCCTTTCCTTCTCTTTCCTCTCCTTACCTTTCCGTCCCTTTCATGTCTTTTCCGAAACTTATTTCCTTTATTTTGGTTAACTTCTTACCCTAATTTCCTTTTCTTTCCTTTGATTTACTTCCTATCCTGTTCTTCCTTTCCTCAAACCCAATTTCCTTTCCTCTCCCATCCTTCCCCTTCTTGTCCTCAACCTGATCCCATTTCCTGTTTCGTTTTCTATTTCCTTTCACTGTATCCTCTCGTCCTGTCCGACCCCTCTCCTCTCCTGTCCTTTCCTTTCTTTTGATTTGCTTCCTTTCCTAAAACCAATTTCCCATCCTCTCCTCTACTGTCCCATCCCACGTTTTTAAGAAACGAGTAAAAATCACATTCAGAGGAAGCTAGATTGTAACATTTTCCCCTCCTTTCCTCTGCAGGCTCCCCTGGTTTCCCCGGGCCAAAAGGCCTGTCTGGATATCCAGGAAGACCAGGAGCAGACGGGACTCCTGGATCTCCTGCTGGGCCTGGAGGTCCCGGAGCCAAAGGTGAGACGATTATTACACTTTCTTTCAAGACTGTACTCAAGAGTTTGAAGCTTCATTGATAACGCTAACATTCAAATGTGCGTGTGTGAGGCTAGGGAAGGAACGCTTAGCTTAGCTTAAAGGATGAACACTGGGTTAAAAGGCTAGCCAAGCTCCGTCCAAAGATTAAAAAAGTTCTGCAAAAGCTTCAATAATATAAGAAATGTTTTGTAAAATGTTAAATATTTAGCTTTTGAGATGCTTGTTGGTTGATTTTGTTGCTTTTGGTAAGCATCTGTTTCCCCCTGTTTCTTGTCTTGATGCTAAACTAAGCTAAGAAATACACTGGCATAGCAAAGCAGTAAATTATCAGCGTTTTTATACAGTGTGATTAACAAGCAAATGTTTTTCTATATACTAAAAGTTATATGTAAAATCTTATGAATGTTCTTTTTTTGTTTGTGAAGGACGTAGCTAAGTAAAGTACAGTTTATTTAGTCTGTTTCCTGAGGAGTTTGAAGCTTCAGTGATAACGTTGGCATTTAAATGTTAATTTTTCAGGTTTTTGTGGCAGGTTTATTTCACCTTAATTCGGTTTTAACTCTGTATTTTGGCATTTGTAGGATTAGATTCCAGTGGTTGCTTCATAGGATTGTTTCTCACTTGTTTAATTCGAACATTTCCAATTACTCCAGAGCGTTGTAAAGACCATAAGTCAAACATTTACTGGCTTAAAAAAAGCACAGATCATTTCCAATATTCCCATGTTCTAATGTCACCAAATATTCAGTTTCAATCCATTGAGTGTTGGCATATAAGTGGATAAAAACTGGAACTGGACAGTACATTTATTGCACTAGTTTATCTGTTTTATTTGTTCTATGTCCTATATATACAGGACTGTCTCAGAAAATTAGAATATTGTGATAAAGTTCTTTATTTTCTGTAATGCAATTAAAAAAACAAAAATGTCATACATTCTGGATTCATTACAAATCAACTGAAATATTGCAAGCCTTTTATTATTTTAATATTGCTGATTATGGCATACACAGCTTAAGAAAACTCAAAAATC